CGTTATGCAATGGATATACGTCGTATTTTGTTTCAGAATTTTGAATTGATGGCAAAATATGTAATTTGTTATAGTAATTCCACTTATTCCTGTGAGGATCAAGTTCGTCATTTTTTGAATCTCGTAATTGTCTGTGTTTGTCTCTCACATTCAGCAAAATGTTCTTCAATTCATTTTGACACATTACAATATTTTCTTCGGTAGAATTGCTTTCCATCCCGATATTCATCCAGTAACGCAATTTATTTATCTAGAAAAATTAATGATCAATGCTATTATTTATAAAGCTGAGAAGAGTAAAAAATGAAACAATAATAATTGAAAAATATTAAAACTATATAACGCATTTGTAAATTTAATAAAGATTAATGGGAAGCAAAAAACGAGCAATCTTATGTAATATACAATTCCGCGACAAGTATTGCGAAATTATCAATTTATTATTTATAAAAATGACATACCTCCGTCACATCATCCATCGTGATATCTACGTCAAATGTAATTTCCATATCGTGATTGGGAAATGTAGCTTGGTTGCTGCCAACACCTATCGGGCCCAAACCGCATAAAGCTCCGGTATAATAAGTTTTGCGAGAATTGCATCTCAATTCCACACACGGTGCAAAAATTAATGCGAGCAATGCCGCAAGTCCAGGAATATTCGGCAGAAGAGTCGTATTTGTCAACGTTACACAATCTTGATTAGTTTTATTAACGTTCCGAGCGATCAAAAGACGTCTCGATTGATTGAGATCGTTATCTAAAAGGACAGCATTGACGGAATTCTTTTCCACATTTGTCTTTCGCGATTTTTCACCCAACGTCAACTGGATCAACTCCATTTCTAAAGGAGAATATGGACCTTGGAGTTTTACGCTAGAATTGCAATCCTCTTCTCTAGGTGGTTCGGGATACTATAAAAGTATAAACGTAATTGATTTTTCAACAAATGGTTATCATCATAAACATTCATATAAATTCCAATTACTCTACGTACTTTTAACAAACTATATTTGTCATATTGTTGTTCTTCGTAAAATTTTTTTTGCTCTGTCGACATATTGTTAATCAGATATGAATCTATTCTTAATTCATGATTACACTTTGAAAAATAGGTTTCTTCCCTCTCTACAGCATATCCTTCTTCAATCAAACCCTGATTAACATTAAATCTTTCTCCTTTCTTATTAACCACAATCAATTTCAGGTTGACAACGCTGTCAACAACCGAATAAATTTCTCCAAATATTTTTTCGTTTTCCTTGATTTGTGTCGCAAAATAATTTCTCGATCTTTTCGACCATTGGTGAACATTATATTGTTTAAAAGGTCGCACAAAAGCCAAATTGCACGAAAATGCCAAAGGAGGAATATTTAAGATTGTAGAATCATTAATTTCTCTTAGTTCACTTAATTCTACTCTAGAAAAACGACCGTGATCAATCAAGAAAACGTCGACCATTTTTTCATCTTCTGAGACGAAATTTGTAATTCTGGCACGATGCCAAGTGAAAAATTTACCCATTTTTATAGGGGCAGCGATTACGTTTGACAATTGTGGATTTGAGAGGAATTTTTTCAAAGAATAATTGTTGAAATAATTTCTTATTTTTCGCAAATTGTTACGAGTGGCATCGTCGTCAAGGGTTGCCCAGAAATGTCCAGGACTAACAATCTAAAAATGTATATATCAATAAATATATATATATGTGTGTGTGTGTGTGTGTATTTATATGAACGTACAAAGAAATAAACGTTTAATTAATAGAGAAAAGATAAAAGTTTTATTATGCTAGTAATTGAATGAGCAATGCATCTATTACGTATTGTAGCAGACTGTAAGATACAACGTACACACACATTCAATGTATGTAAATTATTATCTAAATATTGTTCAATGACACAAATGAAAGATCCGTGCAAGAAATTTTTTTTAACTTTATATAAAATTTATTTTTTACTAATCGCGAAAGTAAAAGAAAACTTACAGTTTGTATAAATAAAGGTATCAATGTTACATCGAGTCCTGGCAATATTGGTCTGCGTTCAGAAACGTTGCTCTCAATCATCCTCATGTTTCTACGAAAGATTAAATTCCTTTCGAATATATGGGCATTGTAATGTTTTGCCCTCTCATTTGCTTCTTCTGCATTCAACAACTTTATTTCAATCGGGATATTGCAACGTTTCATCATGATAGCCTGATGAATAAATGTTTTTACATTAACATAATATTAAACTATTTTTGTTTTACGTAATCCGAATGTCTATGTTATACCGAGTTTGGCTTAATTGTATTTATTTGTGTTTACACATACACCAAGCGATAAATTTATTTAATATCATAGTTTTATGTTATTTATATGAAACAAATATATTAATATAATTACCTGATAAACATATTCTATTATATTTTGAAGACTATCGTCAATGGCCGTTTCTTTATCGCGAAATTGCACGTAAATATACGACGTGTTGAACAATATTGTTACTCGATTTTTTGGAATTTTCAGATATTTGGAAAAAATCTCTTGCAATTTTCCAGCGTATATATATCCCGGTTGTTTGAGTGGCCAACCTCTTAAATAAATCGTCTTCATTGGATCTTCATTATTTAAAGTTTTTGAAATATCCTTTTTATATGTTGGTTCGTCTTGCAAACGGTTGACAAAATAATGAGGATAGAAAGCTCCAGCAAGTATTATTCGAAGAACGAAATTACGATCTGCATCTGCAAGTAAACGAATCGAGTAAATAAATAAAATTGGAAAATAAAAAAAAGTATTAATGAAATAATTTAATATTTTACGGAAAAATTTTGAAAAATTTCAACATTGAATAATTCAACATACCTGGCCAATTGACTTTATCAACTCCCGCAATTTCTTCAATGCCCAATTCCGTCATTCTCATAGTGATTTCGTTCACCAGAGCATCCAATTCACGCAAGGCTTCTATCTCAAGTCCATTTTCCCGGCCCCATTGTTTCTCAGCCTCACGAGTGTTTATTCGATTATTACTCTTTTCGTCTTTCCACACTTTGTAAATATTTAAAGTGGCAATGCAGTCGCTGTTGGAATTTTCCGACCATTTTTTTTGCGTCGTATAAGAGGAAACGGTAGGATGGCATTGCTCCGTATAAAAAACATCTTTAACGGTCATGCTGGCCCCCAAAATAATAGCGTCTCGCAAAACCCCATAGACATGGCCCAACACAATCAATTTTACAATTCGAATGTCGAGCGAAAAATGTGCCATTATATTGCCAAGATTGGTTAACTTTCCATCAAACGGTCGATAACAAACATCGTCTACCAAAGCTCCAATCTCTTTTAAATTCAACATTATATCTGCCAAATTGTCAAAAGTAGGTGGATCGAGGAGATGCGAAATAAAGACGTGTGGCTTGTCGAAATCAAATAGTTTTGCGCGGAGAATGACATTGGCGAGTGGGGCACGGCACATTTCTGGCACATTGTGTTCTCGTAAATTATTCTGTAAATTTTACAAAAAGATAAAATTGATAAATATAACGTGAAAAAATGTAATAAATAATTAATAATATAAACTTAATGGATTATTATAATTTTATTTTCTTGTAACTGTATGATAGTTTTTTTTAAAGATTTACAAGTGATATTTATATATATATATGCGCGTGTAACAATATATACGGACTATATATTATGGACTATAACACGCGCATATCACTTGTAGATCTTTAAAAAAAGTATTATATAATTACAAAACGATAAAATAATAATAATCCATTAAATTTATATTACTTATTAAATATTAGATGCTGTTAAACGTAGTTTTAAATTCCAAATAAAAATTTTGTTTCATATATCACAATATTAGCATAATATAATTCTTATATAAACTACTTACATCATAAAATGCTTTTGGTACTAATCTGTACACTCTGCCATCCATTACACGACCCGTGCGACCAGCTCGTTGAGTACAATTTGTTTTACTCGCCCAACAAAGTTGCAAACTTTGATAATGAGTTGCAGGATTAAATGTCAGCAGTTTTACGAGACAAAAGTCTATCACTATAAATTATACGTATTTAATTAACCACTGTCTTTTTACTTATCATTAATTATTATTATAAAATAATATTTATTTAAAATTTTTTAAATATTTGAAATATTTCTTTGTGATTAAACTGTCGTTTTCTTTTCTCAAGAATTATGATGATATATAATTCATAAAAATTTTATATTTACCATATTTTACATCTGGCATCGTAATGCTGCTTTCGGCAATATTTGTAGAGAGTATAATGCGTCTGTAACCTTGCGGTGGTTTTCGAAATACGCAATCCTGTTTGTCAGCGTCAGAAATTAATGAATGTAAAATTGTTAGGTCCCATAATTTTTCACGGAAAACCGACAAGTAATTGTATAATTCCTCAATTTCGTAAATTCCTGGTAAAAATATGAGAACGGCATGTCTCTGAGGCGGCATTGAGTCTTCTTCGTTATCATTCTCATCAATGTCATCTAGACTATTGATAATAAATGAGCAAATCTCTCGCATTCTTTGAGTGACTTTTGGTTCCACGACGGATACTTTTGGTATCTATAAAATTCAAACACGTATACAAAATTATAAAATTACAAGTACCTACTCTCTAAATATTTTTCACACAATCTCTACTCACATTTCCCATATCGTTTATCTCGTCCAAGTAATACGTACGAATCTGAAAATTTCTTTTTTCGGATATCTCGATAACTGGCGCTGGACGTAACGTGTTTTCTACTTTTGTAGAAAAGTATCTCGCAAATTTCGTTACGTCGATTGTTGCCGACATGAGAATAATTTTAACTTGTTTGGAATTTGTTTGTAATAATCTTTTAATCACAAGTAAAAGAAAATCCAAATTTTGATCACGTTCGTGAATTTCGTCCAATATAATGTGCGTATAGTCCAACAAATGTTTTTGACGAATCAAATGTTGCAGGAGAATTTCGGTGGTGCAATAAGTTAAACGGGTTTCCGGTGAGACTTTTTGTTGCATACCCACTTTGTAGCCCACGAGGGTGCCAAGACGCCAACCTCTCTCATGACACACTCTTTTGGCAATGCTTATCGCGGCGATTCGTCTTGATTGCGTAACTATATCAATATTGTACGGTTTAGTATAATTTATATTATGTTACGTGTAATAATGAAATTGATTTAAAAAATACCTATAACGTTGCAATCAAGCCTCTTTGTAATATTTGCATCGAGAATAAATTGTGGAATCTGAGTGGTTTTTCCACAACCGGTTGGTCCTCGAATGACGATTACGGCATTTGTCTCGATTGTCGATAATATTTCATCCTTTATGGCCACAATAGATGAATCGTTGTTAGATTGTGGACCATAAGGATAACTGCATTCTCCATAGACTTTATCTTCTTCCATTTTTTTTCTATTATCCATAAACTGAAATAAATGTAAAAACATAATAGATTGTCCTTCTTATATTTGTAGAATAAATATCTGTCTCTAAAATGTACAAAAAAATTTGTATGATTAAATGATAATATCAGTATTTAATGATCGGCTTGATTGGCAATATATTAAAAATTATAACGACGTTTTGACTTCTATTTTGGGTCCTTGTCAAGTTTATGATGGATCAATGTGCGTTAAACAATATAAAATCAATCATCAGTGTCGTTCGTCAGGCGCTATACGTGACGGTCATGTCTCACAAAGTTTATGTCTGGTTTCCATCCGCCTTGTTAAAACGCAATGATGATTAATTTTATATTGTTTGACGCACATTGATCCATCATAAACTTGATAAGGACCCAAAATAGAGTTGGAAACGTCGTTTTAATTTTTAATAATATTGCCAGTCAAACCGATTATTAAATACTGATTTTATTTTATTATTGGCAAAATTTTATTTTATTCTTTAAATGATAATATTTGTACCTTTAAATATTCCTCAGCTTCTGCTTCTGTGTAATCCTTGACAAAAGTTTCTTCACAAACAGACTGTGTAGATGTAACGTCTCTCCAACTTGAAGATTCCATTGTTAAAATTGACTTTCAATCTTTCGTAATCTGCAACGTGCATAAAAAATTTTAAAATAATATTAAATTAGGCATTTGTAAATGTATATAATAAATTTCTTTTGCAAAATAAAAAAAAAACATTCAAAATTATATTAAAATCAATTTGTAATTTTATTTCGTTGTGCAAAAATTAAATTCGTTGGGTCTCGATAATTTTTATGTCCATGTGCATACGTGAATCTATGGCATTCGAGCCAAAATAAAATATCTAATTGTAATCACAAAATTTGAAACCAGTTAAAAAATACCAAATAAATGATGGTTAACGAAATGATTGGAAAATTATCAATCACAAAGTAGACAAAAGATTTTACAAATTTTTCCAAATTTATAAAAATGCTGAAAAATAGATTGCCGAAAGTCATGGAAAAAACGTATGCACATGAAAAATAAATTGCAAAGCCTATTTTTTTTTTCATTCGAAACTTGAAACCGTATTATTGTAAAACAAGACGTATTAATTTTTACGTGGTTCAATTTTTCTTTCTTTCTTTTCATATCGAAGAGAAAAAGAGATAAAGAAATGAACCATGCAAGCTCAGCGAGAAATGACCCATCAAATCGACGTCATGATTTTGACGTTGATTAAACGTCGATTCAATGGGTCTTTTCTCATTGGAAAGAAGTCGAGCCAAAAAAAAAAACCGCCATATGCACAACCATCTTGAGTTTGGACATTTCTGCAAACTAAACGTATCTTAACGATATAATATATCATTTCTCTATTTTCAAAGTTATTACACATCTTATTTTACAGAACGATACTCATTTAAATATTTTATGCCTGATT